AAAAGAAAAGAAGTGCAGATGGGGTCAAGACTGCAAAAGCCCCTCGTGTGTGTGTGTGTGTCATTGCTTTGTGGGGTAAAAAACTTTAAAAAGTGTGACAGTGGTGGATCTACTCTTTCTTTTCCTTCTAACTACAGACATATCCTTCTCATCCATGTCAGTCTCTACATATTTCTGCACTAAAATATATCCTCTTGCTCCTCATCATATCTCTAATTCAATTTTTTAGACAGCTATATCTATTTCAAACTGATGACCAAATATTAGTGCAGTATCTTTTTTACTTTTCTGAGGCATTGTACCGTTCTACTTTTGACCTCTGTTTCAGCAATGACTAAAATTTACATCTAAGCAATGTAATGGCAGATACTAAATTTAACAGGGTCAAAGAAGACAAGAAATTTTGTCATACGTGTCAACTATACACTGTCTGTATATTTTACAGGCGCCAGGCCAGAGGTCTGAAAGTGAGTAACCATTATATATATCTTCCTAGAGTTCAGATTTGTCTCAATGTTAGGTCATTATCAAACTAAGCCACAATGTTTGACCAATGACCAAGACCTAGATTCCATGTCCAAATGACTCTCAAGGCAGGGGTTTGGACTTTGGCATCATCTATCATTTTCTGCAGTTGCATCATATAATTCTAAAAATCATGTCTTGGTGGGAAGAGTAGGTGAGAAGTACCAACAACCCAATGAAATAGTACGAGTGCGAACAACTAGCATCGATAACATTGTTATCAAAGAAAAAAAGAGACAAGAAATTTATCTTAAATCCTTTGCACGTACACTGAGCTCGTAGATGTGGTAACACACACATATATACTTTTGGAAGAGAATACCTCTTAGCACTTTTACAAGTTCTTGTTCTTCAGTTCCATGCACCAATGACAATAGAGAAGCACAAATGCCAATGCTAAGGCAAAGCTGGTTGGTGAATTTTTAGCTAACCTTTTGAGCATATCAGGAGGGGCATAAGTTTCAAATAACAACATTAAACCAACTTACTTTTTGACTAACTCAACATGAATAATAGTAGCTAAGCATCTAGGGGGGAGTGAATTTGAAATATGGCAGGACCACCACATGGATATGTTGTAGAAAAATGAAAGGAAAACAACAAATAGAATGCCATCTCATGGAGTGTAATGCTCCTAGCTTATCATGAAGTTTCACAGAAAGTAAACATGACAGGACCACATATAATTCTTCAGAGCAACGTGATAATAATAAAATTGCTACAGAAAAATCAATCATGATTCATGTGAACACAAAAATCAGACAAAACAATTATGAGAGTACATTTCACTGAAGGACAATTAGGTGAAAGGAAGTTACATGATTCATTTGATTCAATAACTACGGACACAGTGAGTGATTCTTTTGTTCTATGGAGGGCAAATGATTCAGCCCCAGATGTCACTTCAACTATGAAAAGGAAGAATTCTGTCCATTTATGTCTTCCATGTTCTATACTACTGTAAAAAGATAAAAATTCCAGATCAATGTCAAATGTGCCAACCAGAAAAATGCAACTTAATTGGTAGTTTCTGAATAATTAGCAAACTAGAGTAATAGAGGAACTCAGGACATCTAAATCATAAGGAAAGGACAACTTCCAAGCAAGGATATATTTCACTTGCACACATGACGAAAGATGCATGAATCTCACAATAGCCCAGACACATCCAAAAATCAAGAATTGCCATGAGAGTTGCTTTAGAGATGACCAAACAACAATACATTATATATGACAACATCACATGGTTCAATAAAGCAACCAGCTAGTCCATCAAGTACAAATTTCATGACAGCAAACGTGCAAGAAACTGGATAGATATTTTTCATAAACTCCTTGTCAAAATTATTATTTTTCAGAGACTTGATGACAACCACAAAACGTTCACGTAGGAACAGAGATGGTCAATAACATAGGCCCAACATTGAACCAACTCCGACATGTGTTTAACTTAATGTCACTATTCACCCAACAATATAAAATGGAGCCCCAAATGTGCTCTATGATCAAGATAATAGAATAGAGCGGCTAATTTTTCGCTAATAGACTTTTCTGAGGCAAGATTTCACAAACATTTGTAGTTCTTTCAAATTCTTAAAAACACAGAGTTTGAAGTTAAAGAATAAACTTGTAATGGCGAGCATTCTAGAAGAGTCCTCAGTTCAAAAATAAGAACTTTGTGTCGTAAGTTGATTATTTATAGCCAAACATCTCCAATAATCAAGACAATTTGACATAAATATACAAGTGAATAGACAAATGTTTCATGTCTCATAACATAGCATCATAAACTTAAGTCTATGGATAATTGTCAACCAGAAATGACCTTCTGTCTCAATAAAACTCATTGCAATTGGGGCAATGACGTAGCTAGTGAGGTTCTAATCAAGGGACGTCTATAGCTGGTTGAAAACTATTTTCAGTCTACATAAAGGTCAGGCATCATTACTCTTTGATTCAAACATGTGAACCGTTGATCCTAATAGAGAACTTTGGGGCCAACATAAGATAAAGTACTTGAACTAGGAAAATTTCTGAACTCAAGGAGAAATATACTTCCTCTATTCCAGTTTAAATGACTCTATTTCCTTTTTGATTTGTTCCAAAAAAAAAGACTCTTTCTAAATTTGAAAATAATTTTAATTTGAACTTCCTATTTTATTCTTAATGATGGAACTTTATAGCCACACAAATGTTATGGTATGTTAATAACCACAAGTTTCAAATATCATATAGTCAGACAAATGATATAGAGTTATAGACTTACGGTATGTTTAAATCCAAAGTTCCAAAAGTCTTCCTTTCTTTAGTAAAATCTCCCTCAATCAAATAGGTTCACATAGATTAAAATGTGGACGTTATTTTTTTTAAGTAGGGATAACATAATATTTACACCTTTCCTTCTCATCAGAGGATATGCAAATGCCAATCATATAGAGTTATAGACTTATGGTATGTTTAAATCCAAAGTTCCAAAAATCTTCCTTTCTTTAGTAAAATCCTCCTCAATCAAATAGGTTCACATAGATTAAAATGTGGCTGTAATTCCTTAAGTAGGAAGAACATAATATTTACTATTACACCTTTCCTTCTCATCGGAGGCTATGCAAATTCCATGAGCTTTAGGCCTATCTCATCCCTTTTCAGCACCGTCAATCAGCCTATATCATACCATCTGTCCATGAACCTAAGTAGACTTTCTATCACCCTTATAATTTCCTAAAGCCTTATGCTCTATCACTTGTTCCGAAACTTTCATCATGCGATTTATATGTTTCATACCACAGCATTTAGTATTCATTATCTCCTTTATACTTATATCGGAACTAAAACACTCTTTTTCCACTGATTTGCCGTACCACACCACCTCTCCAATGACTTTCAATTACTTTTTTTACAGGAACACCGGTAGGCTTTTCTAACCATCATAATTTTGACAGCATTTCTTTACTTCATTAAGATCATCTGTAGTTTGAGCAGAAGTGCCCTTAGTGTACAACTTACATAATTAAGCACGATTGACTTAATAAAAAAGAACAGAAGAATGATATGCCAGAAACTTAGCTTTTTGAAAAGAGAAAGGGAACTACTTGACTAACGGAAGTTCAAGTTAACTCCAACTTTGGTATAAAAGTGGAATTCCTTTCAGCAAAATTTGTTGGAATTGCCATAAGTCCATAGGGATCGACTTCAATCTAGGACCATAAGTCCAGACCTTTCTACTCACTGCCTCTCCTTGAATAGACAACCTTCCCTTCCAACATTGCTCAATCAGAACGTACCACAAAATAGAGGCAAAACATGTAACAATATAACAAGAAGATTTACCTCAGGATATAACAAAGTATTAAAGTGACAGATTAATAGGTTTATACAAGCCCTTGTTATCTTACTTTTTGATTTAAGACTTTAAGTTGACAATAACTTGTCAATGCCAACAGGCAAGCACAAGAAAAAAAAAAGGAAGAGAAGTTCCTTACTCGGCACTCATTTTTTTTTCAATTATTGCCAAAAGCCTAAAACCTATGAGAACTACATTTAATACTAGAACTTGTTGTCCTAACATTAACCAGTCACAGATTTTTATTACATGGGCAGCTTAATTTGTTGATTAAGTTACTTTTTACAAGATAAACAATTTTAATGATGTGGGGAAGTCCCACACACAATCCATATACCAAAAAGTAGAGAAGCTAATTTGGCACTGCTATCCAGAAAATATATGTGCATGCATCATATCCTCGCAGATGATAAATTTTCGGAAAGCATATTTCTAGAACATATTAATATCAGGTGGTGGAAAATTTAATTTGACAAAACAAACAAATCAAGAGATAAGCTATTACCATCTAGTTGATCATCTACAAATGTCAATCCAAAATCTTTCATCTTGTGCTTTCGCAAAACAAAAGTATAATGAAGCTATGTAGATATCAGCAAACTAAAAATAGAGAGCAATAACAATCATAATTTATGATTCATAAATAGATTCCAGCTCCTTTCATTCATATCTTGAATCCCGATAAGTTAGGATTGCAAGAACACATGCATGATGTGCATTATTTGAATGCAATTGCATTGATTCAAACAAGCATGAATAAATAACACTATTGAAGCTAATTGTCTTCATGATAGTTCCACACAACTCAGTAAAACTTAACATGACATGAAAAAATGCAACAAATTGCGAAACTTATCTTAACTTTTAGGTCCAAAATCACAGACCAGAAAGGAAAAAAGCTTACAAGTTTGCCAACTCAAGAATGAGGTCAGTGTCACTGGTAGTTCTAGAAACCAGAATCAACTTCTATTTTGCCTCAATCTCTAACTAGTCGGGGCATTTATATGAATTCTCAACATCCATTTTGATCTTTGAACATGTCTCATTCTAATACTCAATAATTTATCTTTTAACAAAGCAAAGCACAATAAGAGATACAAAAACTTGCTCCCGAAACTAATTAGAGCTGGCTATATGAATCCAAAGTATCATTTTATAGCATTAACAGAGATAGATAATGAAACGAACTTCATTCATATCAATTTTGCATCAACAATCTCAACAACAGATAAGGAATAAAGCTTACAACTTCGTCATGTGAAGAATGAGGTGAATGTCACATAATTGAAAATCCGAAACACAAACAATCCTTCGAGAATACCCAACAGTACACCAGCAATAACATCGAATACGAAATGCCGTCCAAGAAGTACCCTGGAACACGACGTGGTTGCAGCCCATCCGATCACAATAAGCATCAAATAATCCACAAATAAATCATATTTAAGCTGAATCAAAACATCCCGAATGAAATCGGATGATAGATAAAAGAGAGTAGCAATCATGGAAACTCTGGATGAATGTCCACTGGGAAATGACCAATGGTCGACGGCAAAGGATAGAAACATGTTTTTGTTGTAAACGGGTCGGGGCCTCCGAATAAGATGTTTTAGGGGTCCGATTACGATAAGGTCGAGGATGCCACCGAGTAGTAAATTTATTAAGAAGATGTTGGAATTTTTGGTATCGGAGAAAGCGAGAGGGTAGAGGAGTAGTGAGAGGACTAAAGGGAAGAAGAGGAAACCGTCGCCGGAGATCTCTAGGGTTTTGAGGAAGTAGTAAGGGAGAATAGGGTGAGTTAGAGTGTAAAGACGGAGGGAGATGGCGGTATCAAAATCGACGATGCGGCGGAGCAAAGACGGCGCCGGCGACGGAGGTGATGACATGGATACCATTGTTCCAGTTTGAGTGAGTAGAAACCAACTGATTTGTGGAAATGTCAGAAATTCGTTAAAAAATGAAGCCCAACAGTGAGTACTAACAAAATGAAATATAGGATTTACAAAATAGCCATTTTCAATCTTTATAATTGTAACCACATTCCGCTTCACGTAAGTGAAATTAACTATTTTTTAGAGTTAAATTATATTATTTAATTTAATATTTTAATGCATGATATAATTTGCTTACTTTATTATATCATTGAGCTAAAAATTAAATAATTTTGAGTTAGACAAATTTGATTATGACTAATTCCTCAATTTATCTAAGATCAAAGCAATTCTAACTCAAAATTTAGGTGGGTTAGAATGGTTTTGTTGAGTCTAAGATTGGGTCATGACCCAAACAACATGACCAAACCAGTACATCTAACACTTAAAATGGAGTTGGAACAATATGGGCCTGATCCATAATATAAGTAATGGAAAGCCCACGATTTTCCAAAGAAAACTCATGTATATAAGCATCAAATACAAATTTGATCAAACTCAATATCTAGCTTTGATTCAAACCATGTATGTATCTTCAATATCCATTGAATGTGTACAAAACTACGAATTATTTAATATAGTTATCAATAACTTATAAAGATTAGGATTCAGAACCCATAAACTTCAAATCCTAACTTCACTTTTGTTTAAAATGGTGAGTAAAATACTTACACAAACTAACGGTGTAAAACTAAAAAACATTTTTTCCAGAATCTATATGAGCTGAAAAACACTTTCAGGTTTATGGTCAAAATCAAAATGATTAGAGATGATCATTAGGCTGTCCAAATAAACAGAGTCTAAATCTTCCACTAAGAGAAAAATAAAATATAGTAAGAGAAATTAAACCATAGTTATAATGATTGTTGACCATAAAATAAGAAACAAATACATCATACATGGTATCAATAATTCTATAACTTTAGAAGGTGGAAACATTTAAAGGTGCCAACAAAAAGTTCCCAAAGATGGAAAAAAAATAAATATTTCAAACGGCTTGAGTGATGATTTGTTTCTTATTATTGGAAAATGACAATCACTTTTTCTTTGATCCAAAATGACCAAATCTAACAAATTCTACAAAGTTTTCAAACTTGTAGATTCTATAATCATATTGTTGAAAATAGTAATACTAGCATTATATTGTGGGATATCTTTATTTAGTTTTGGACACGATTGTATAGCAAGTCTCCAAAGGTTTCAAAAATTTCGACACTATAATTAATTATGTTGTCAAAAATAACTCTATTATTCTAGAATTAGAAAATTTCATAAATGGCTACTTTCCCCGTTTCTTTTTATTTGTCCAATTTAATTTTTTTACTTGTCATTTTTTGACAAATCCAAAAAAATATATATATATATTTTACCTATTATATCCTCAATTTATTTAGAGTGTTAATATTTATGAAAAGATAGAACCTCCTTAATGAGTAATTGATTTTGAAATTCAATCAATTAATTGAGATAAAACGATAAACTCACTATTTCAATTATTATTTTTAATAGGTGTGCCAAGTCTAAAATGTGTTAGGACTGAAGTAATCTGGTGTTATACGGAAGTTAACAAAGCAAAACTCAAAAGACCACAAGTCAAAAAAAAAAGAGATATATATCAATAGATACAAAGGTTTAACATAGTTCGATTAATTGACCTTTGTCCATCAAAGGAGATGAGCAATCCCTCAATTTAGTCGAAATATAAAGAAGTTCACAAATAATAACGTATCATTAGTGTCCCACAAATTCTCTCTCCTAATCAAAACTCTCAAAGCCTCTAGGATTATATTGTGAGTGTTGATTAAGTTCAAAAGAGCGAACTCTCTATTTGTATAGAATCTTAAACTTTTTCCTAATCAAAATAAAATACTTTATGTTATTTTTTTTTAAGAAAAAAAAATCTAATTATAATAAAGAGATTAAAGACAAATAATATCCAACAAAATAGGCAAGTAAATATACGGATAAAGGGAGTATAATTGCTTGTCCAAATAATGTATCTTCAATGTGGAAATTATTAAGCTAGTTCAGATTTAGTAGGACTTTAATGTGAATACTGAATATTGATTGAGAAATTGAAAAAAAGAAAAATTAAATTTGTTTTTTAACTATTAATTTCTTGAAGACGATTAAAAAGTATTGGGAAGTTAGTAATGAGAAAATCAGGTAGCTAGCTAGCTGATTTGATGTTGAGTTAATTTTTATGACAGTGAAAATTAAATTTTTGCTGCCAATTATTTTTTTAAAAAAATATTAGTTGACTGTCATACTGCCCAATTTATTAATGAAGGCACAATTAAAATAATACGAGCATTTAATAGACTAAGATGGTAAGTATTTGGTAACATTAAAGTTCACATTTGAATAATAACTATTTCAAAAACAATGAAATGGCTACGCCGTGGCTCTTAGGTAGTCTACAAATTTGAATTTGAATTTAAATTAAATTATCATTAATAAACTAATGATAAGTCCATACACATAATTAAATAAGTTATCAACGATTTGACCATCTTTTAAAATTTCAAGTAGCCTTTTTTTTCGTCGATTGATATTCATCTGCATTTGATATTTATAATGAACTAAGTTTTTGACAAACAATGCGAAAATTACCATTAACAAATAAAAAATTAAAAAATATCATACATTCATTGGATTATCATAAACATCAGACAAATAATTAGGCTTAGGATTGGTGTTAAAACAAATTAGTATATCATGTTCATACCACTAATTAACCATTATGCTTCAACTACAAATAACTTTCCCACCTCAGAAAACAATGCAAAATTTCAAAAGAAATTGATGTATTGTCTTTGATATAATATGCATGTCCATTTATTAATTCAATTTAGACTGGTAATTATTTTTAATTTTTTAAATTTTAAATATAAAAACAAGCTACACAGCTATCATTGTTTTGTTATATATATATATATATATATATATATATATATATATATATATATATATATATATATATA